GGAAGGAAGGAAGGAAGGAAGGAAGGAAGGAAGAAAGGAAGGAAGAAATAGAAACCTGCTAATGTATGGGATCATGTAGGTCAGCCTGAAGCATGCCAGTTTCCATGGGAGATTTGTCCCCTAGAAATGCAACAACCATGACAGTCTGCAACTAGAAAGGCTGTGTTTGCAGAGTGTCTGGGGAAGTTCAAGACCAGAGCATTTTACATTCTTTCACTTACAAAACTTTTCCTATTCTTTAGTTCTTTAACATTTAGAAAGTGTCACTTTCCATTTCCACTTCCAGGATGAAGCCCTGAGATAAAGGCAGATGTGCTTTCAGACCTGTGGGTAGTGCTTTCTCACATGGGTGAGGATCCCTGGGAGAAGTTACTGTCTTGATTCAGGGGCCAGTTCTCCATCCACCCCTCTTCATTCACCAAGAACTCTCAGAACCGTGTGAGAAAGGGAAACATTTCCTTGAGGGAATTGTATGGTGGTGTGTGTGTGTGTGTGTGTGTGTGTGTGTGTGTGTGTGTGTGTATGCATGTCTGTATGTGAGTACATGTGCACATGTGTCTGTGTGTGAAAGACATATTAATACACTATAGTCACTGTTAATATGTGATTTATTAAATGTTTTAGCTTGTCAAATTTGTCTTCCTTTTTGCTTTATTTTTCTTTTAATTATTAAATTATTTTGCTTTATTTTTATTTAAACTTAAAAATGTTTTCTCTTTCTTGTATGTTTGTTTCCCTTCTTAAAGCATCACATATTGCTCTAACTCATAATTTATTATGCATTTATTTATTCATCCATTTACTACCTGATACATTTTTAGACCTTTCCCTTGCATGTGATTCTATCAACAGCATCTGTTGCCACTGTCTTAGTTAGGCTTTCTCTTGCTGCAGTGAAACACCATGACCAAGAAGCAAGTTGGGGAGGAAAGGGTTTATTCTACTTATACTTCTACATTGCTATTCATCATCAAATATCAGAGGAAAGTCAGGCCAGGAACTCAAGCAAGGCAGGATCCTGGAGACAGGAGCTGATGCAGAAGCCATGGAGGGGAGCTGCTTACTGGCTTGCTCAGCCTGCTTTCTCATAGAACCCAGGGCCACCAGCCCAGAGATGGCACCACCCACCATGGGCTGGGCCCTCTCACATTGATCACTAATTGAGAAAATGCCTTATGGCTGAATCTCATGGAGGCATTTCCTCAACTGAAACTCCTTCCTCTCTGATGACTCTAGCTTGTATCAAGTTGACACAAAAACCAGCCAGCACAGTCATTATGGAACTAAATAGAATTTGAATTAGATAGCTTTCATCACTCCTTGCTACCAACCTCCATCACAGCCTTCACTTGGACTTGGTACAGATCAGGTAGGCCATGCCTACCCAAAATCATGGATGTACCAGAAGCTCTTAGGGCTCTGCTGCCATGTGTAGATTTGTCACCAAAAAGTTGGCCAAATCATGGGAACATGTCACTTTACATTGGTTTAGAAGAGGTGTAGTAGACTAAGTTCCCAATCATAAATTGTTCTTGTTTAACAAGTTCATGCCATTATGCATCACCATGACAACAGAGTGGTGGACCACAGACTTTTTTGAGACTGTAGTTGACATGTGATGATAATCTACCATATTTGTCTTATTGTTTTCTTCAAATGTATCTGAAAATAGCTCCCAACACTGTATTTATCTCTCTAATACCTTTATTTTACCCAGCAACAACTTGGAATGTGTTTCTATTTGAACTAAAAATAGTTGACATGTGGGGAGGTGGTGGTCTTTCCTTCCCTTATGGCCATCCTAGACTACTTACAGCAAAGAAAATATGTGTCTGTCTTTCATATTGTTGTATTCTAAGACAATGAATCACATCACTTCTTTTACATATAATAAATACAGCTGCTTGCCTTTCCCCACTAATGTGGCTCCCATGCCCTTTATTAATGAGCACCAGCTCTCCAGTATCTCTGGCCAATGCTTGCATCCTGCATCACAGGCATCCTTAACTCCTCCTCCTCATTCTTGACCATGCCCTGATCCAGGCATCTGCCTAGGAAATTTTTCTTCCCAGTTCTCACTCACTAAACTCCCACTTAAACCTGGTTCAGATTAGAGACCTTCACTTGTAGAACTATCCCTAGGCTCACCTGGGCAGCTCATCAGTCTCCCTCTTCCAAGACAATTATTCAGGCCTTTATTATAACACATCTTCCCTGTTCTATATGGCAATCTGAAGACTTGTGCACAATAGTATTTCTCTTTGACTGTGAATCCTACCATCAGTGACATTATTTGGTCATTACTAGTACAAAAAAAAAAATAGGTCCATGTGAGAGTAGAGAAAGTTTGTGAATTTATGAACCTCCTGTGCCCACAGTGGACACGACACTACAGAAAAAAAGAGCCACAACACAGCAGGGCTTTTAACAGCTGCTTAATCTGGAAATGATTGAAAATGGTTATCTGATGTATTTCAGAACGTCACAAGTGACAAAATAGTAAATTATAAGCATCCTACCAGAAAGTGTCAACATAATCTACATAATTATAGAAAACATTTAAGTAACTAATGACACATGACTGCATATTAGTGTCAGGAACAGTTATAAAAACCATAGGAGAGTATTTTGAAAGTGTACTTAAAATGTCAAAATTCATATTAGCTTTTCTTCAAAACACCTAAAGAAAACAGAATCTTGGACTAGCATGGAAATGCATGTGGGGAAGCATATTATTTGAATTTAGAAAAAGAAAGATAATATACACATTGAAACAATATTATTGAGAGCAGAAATGATCTTTCCACCAGGGAAAGTAACATTTACAGTAGAGAAGGGTTCTGAAGCTTGTTCAGACTATCTGATGACATATCATCTGTGTCACTCAAATCAAATGGTAGACATCTCAGGGCAACGATGGGAAGATATCTGTAACTCTGACATTTGTAGCTAAAAAGCAGTCGTCAATATTTGGGCAGGAAAAAAAAGTGCACTGAGATTTCATTTGTTATTGATAAGGACACCTGCTCTATGATGCTCCTGCTGCATGCCTTCCCTTTGATTAGGGTGCACTGCAATGAACGCTGAATGACCACATGACGTAATGAAATGTGGATGCGCCTTCTGGCAGCCCTACTGTACGTTCCTTCAGATGCAGAGGTGGGGCTGGAGCATAAGGCAGTTAGTGGCATCTTTGTCCCTGAACAGTGAGCCCACGGTACTTGTTCTTATGTCTCTCACCTATCCAGATGGATGTTCCATTTTGCTGTCTGCCAAACATAGTACGAAGGGGAAAGATCTCCACCCACCAGAATTTGCTGGGTACTAGGTACATTATCTTTACCACATCTGTGTGTGCTGTTTGTATAATCTTTTGTCTAGTGTGATTATTCCCATTTCCCATGAAGACACTACAACTCTGAGATGAGCTGAAACTCCCTGAAGTCACACATATCAAGTGTGACAGAATCCAGGTGGAAACCTTGCATATTTAATTCTAAAACCATCTCCTAGGATGTTTCCCTTGTAGGGAATCCCAGGCAAAGTTATAAAAGATTAAGATTAATATATTAGTTTTGTTTTGTCGTTTGTTTTACGGTAGTGACAAAATAGCTAACAAAAGGACTTCAAGGAAGGCTTTATTCTGGCTCATGGGAAGAGATACAGTCCATCATGGTAGGGAAGCACAGCATTAGGAGTATAAGATAGCTTATCACATTGCTTCCATACTCAGGAGCAGAGGGCAGACAGGAAGTGGGCCACGGCTGTGGAGCCTCTAGTCCTGCCCTCAATAACTCTCTTCCAAGGCACCATATGCTAAGGGTCCGGAAACACTGCCACCAGCAGCAGGGGTATATGTTGATACAAGGGATCCTATGGGAACCATTTCACATTTCTAACCACAACAGTTCATGTGGTCACCCCTGCTTCTACTCTAGTTAATTGTAATTTAGTTCTCTACCCTTTCATTAACTAGCTGTTTTGGGTCCACTTAACCCAGCTTTTCAAGGGATACATTATATCCACCACTGTTCTTACTACTGCTGATAAAGATCATCATTGTTATTATTACTGATGATACTTCGGCAATATCTTGGCTAACACTTTTTTTTTTAGCTCCTTTTAAGCCAGGCATAATGCCAAACACATTGCAGAGACAGTCTTGTGTAATGGTGTCATTAATATCTTTACTTGCAGATGAAGCAATTGGAGCTTAGAGGTTAAATAACTTGCCCTTACGATATTCTTGGCTGAC